TCGTTTAGTGAGCAAGAAGAATTACTTCCTGGCGGGCTCAATTTTGGTCCTCATCGCTGCTACTGCATGTAAGTGAATTCATGTGTCCATCAGTTCGACCCAGCTGATTTGTGTTCACTTCTCGAGTGTCTGGAACAGGTGATTATCCTAACGCCACATGACGACACTATTAATACTGACCGGAGTCTGTGGCGCTTAGTCTGGGTCGTGCTTTCGTATGTGTTTCGACGCCAGTACATTTCATCCGTATGAGATTAACGTTACTATTATTACTAGAATGCGCTTCAACACCTATCGCGAATTGCTCACCATCAATGTCAGTGTCGCTATCTGACGTTGTGGCAAATACTGACGTTAACACCAATCTTCACAGCCGCTGACAATTACGATCAACGCACTCTCGAGCGCTGTCGATATTCTGATTGCTGCCAGTCTTGCGTTCTTACTTCATAGATCGAGAACTGGCTTCAAACGGTGTGTATCTTACGTCTAAACTCTTTGTCAAATCCTGACATGATTTTTAGCTCCGACACCGTCATCAATAAATTGATCATCTTTGTCGTTCATACTGGATTGTATGTCATAATTTCCACATTACTTTCTTCTCTCATTAACATGTTTCTCCCTTCAGATTGACAACGTGAGTCAAAGTCATCGAATACTCCCGTGGTAACCTTCAGTGCTTAAGATGTTCTCGCAGGATTTGCGCTGTCTCATCTTTGATCTGTGTGAGCGCATATCACATTGTTCCCACTAACTGTTCTCACGCGATATTTTCTATAGCTCGTGGCTTCGCCAAACACCCTCATTTACGCCTCTTTCTACTTCTGCATTGGGCGATGTAAGTGCTTCATGCTTTTTCGTTGGCGTCTACGACTGGACTAAATAAACCCCCTCCGCCTAGTCTATACCAACTCTTTCCTCGCAACCTTGAATTCAAGAAAGCAGCTGCAAGGAAGCGCGCAGAGTAGCGAGCGCGATACCAGTCATATGATGATGTCGATTCCCGCGAGTATGCTCAACGCCAAGCCCCCTGCAACACACTCGGTCAATCGTAAGCCCCAGGACATTTCCATCCGCATTGACACGACTAAGGAGGCTGTCATGGACATCGAAAAAGCGGAGTCTCAGAGACCCTCGGTGCGTCTTCCTGTTCTCCTATTTAGCTCGCAACCTCCGACGGCTAACTACCTTTCCTGTTTAGACTCTGAGCGGTGATCTGGGGAGGGGCAAACACGGCGACATGGACAACTTCTCAACAGACGACGAGACATCATATGCGCCCGCCAAGAAATCGGTACCATTGTGAAGAACAGACCGCTGACCATCACATATAATCACTTCAAAATGGATAGTTAGCTAACTGTTACTAGACATACTATACACATCTTTTACTAGGATCCGATTCACCTGATCCTCCAACTTTCATTCGGTGCCATACTTCTTGCATTTTCCAACCATTTTTCGTTCATTTCGATGCACATACTTACATTAGGGATTACTTTCATTTATTCATCGTGTACATAAGGAAGGATCCACATGCATAGAATCAGTCAGGTTTACTACTTACTATGAGTTTAGGACCCGGCACGCGTCAATCTGGATTCTGCAATATCCTGTGGGGTTTGGTCTGTCTGGCGCGCGGTTGTCCAAGTCAACGCACTCGATGGTCTAGGACACCAGGGTTCTGGAAGAGAGTCATATGGCACACCCACAATCTAATCTAATCGGTCCGCCGCCGCCCAACCAGAACAAAATCTCTCGTAGGTCGACCACGTTGACACCGAACGAAGATTATGAATATCGTGACGACGTCCCCGAGCTCCTGTGTACTCATGGCCCCGATACCTCCTATATCTTGCATAGGGAGGATTGATTTTGTATTCGACTTCGACTGGGGTTTTTACTGGCAGCTACTACTCCACTCCGACGTGTCTGAAGTCATCTCAAATTTCGTGCTCTAGATGTATTGAGGGTGTACGGGGGCATAACGCTTGTCCAAATCATTTGCAAAAACGAGACCTCGCTGTGCTATTAGCTACAAGCTACAAAAGCATAATCAGAACTAGAAATACAGAGAGTACATCGATGGTATAAAAGAGATCCCATTCGATGTAAGTAGCAGGCATAACCTGTCCTTTGATTGCTTGAAGAGTTACGCATACCTACGAGAATACTTTAAACGCCACTCGCTCCTCCTCGGTCCAGTTAAACACTGGCAAAGGGTGCGCTTCGGTGTTGAAAACCCACTTATCGAAGGATATGGGATCTTCATCGTTGAATAGAAGATACAAGTACTTCAGAGTTTCCGCCAGGAAGAAGCTGAAAGACGAAGGGGCTCATAGTTAAGTTACTGAAAAGCAAATAATGGATAAGAGACGGACCTCGGCATTTCATCGTGAATCGTTGGCTTGTCGGTGTCTACATGGCTCACGCTGCTGTACCCATACTCCGTCTTCGTGTGCTTCTCGATGGCCCGATAAATGCCGTATCCTCGCTCTCTCCATATAGGGTCACCCGTCGTCTTCCAGAGGATATAAATACTCTCGATAGTCTGCGCACAATGGTTCAGACTTGAGTGTGAAACAATCACGCGAAAACCTACCTCGGGTCTCATCAACCAGTACTCGGGCCAAGCGTTCCTATAGTCCCTATCCTCCGCGTACATCTCAACAGTGGGCTGACGCAGGCCAGGCGGCTTTCCTTGCTTCCCTTCCCGTTCCCAAGCCTTCAACTCATCCACCCACTTCTCCCCGCTCATCATCGTCGCTCCATCCGGCCCCAAACCCGACTGTTGGTCGGCGTACGTGATCCAGCATGTGAACGCGAGACCCTCCGCAGCCCATTTGTGCCTCTGCCGCCTTTCATCGGAGAGATGGTCGGCGGGAATTGTATGGGCGCCCAACGCGATTAGTCCGGGCAGGAAGCAGCTGAGGTGCTCAAGTTTGTTGGTGGCATACTTCCCAATCAGATCGGTCACGAAGAGCAACTTTCGTTTAGGAGTGACAAACAGGAGGTTTTCGATGATGCCTTCGACTGACTTCAAATCTGGCGACAAAAGACCGTTGTGAGAGAGCGAGCGAGTCCGATCGGGTAATAGAAACGAGTAGACGTCAGTTGTTGTTGGTCGATAAGGGATAATGACGTACATTGGTCTAATGCCCGCCTGTCGCCAAACATAAGCCATTGTTTGAGGAAATATTCATAGGTGCTATCAGTGCCAGCGCCAATTGTGTAATGAGCTGCCCGTATCTATAAGCATAAACGCTAAGCTACGATGAAAATGAACTTACTTCCAGAGGGGCTACCACTGCCCAAAGACCATCGCTCAGCAAACAGATTATTCCAGTTGCTGGAATTATACAGGTGCTCCATTACGGCTTCAACCTGTGCAGTGTCCGACGTGTATCAGTGAAAGTGCTGTATCCCCAAGATTGATAACTTGTACGTACTCGCTGGTAATACTCAGGCTTACCAGTCAACTTGGCGAGATACTTGTACTCTAATTGACAGCTCCCCAGCTCTGCCAAAAGCCCCACGTCGTAGTCCGAACCGCCCACAATTTGTCCCCTAGAACGGACATCATCGTCGTTACCATATTTGCAGCAAGCACGCAAGCTACAAGAGTTAAGAACGAGGGACTCACGTCGAAGGTTGAATCGCGGAAGCCGGCAGACCATGTTTTGTTGAAAATACTGGTAACAACTTCTGCCCTAAATCGTCGGCGAGATCCAGCAAAGCTTTGTCTCCGGACAGTGCGTAACCAGAGAGATACCCGCCCAGATATCTGATCACCGTTTCAAAGAAGGGTGCGTATACGTTTGCCTAGAAACAAGGTCATAATCCGTAGATACATATAGATGATCACTCACTGTCTCGTTGAACTTCTGCTGTCGGATGGCATCTACCGCCGCGTTGAACTCAGGTTTAAGATCCATGAGCCACATTGTGCTCAAGGAATCCACGAGCGTGACCGACCATCCATTGAACCTATACAATCGTCAGTGGAGCTCAATAGAAGCGCCAACGCAACGCACTTGTTTTTGCTGATACCAGCCTGGGGAAGTATTTCGTCGCTGGGAAAGCCTTTTTCCATGTAACCGCGCCATGCGTAGAGAAAGGTGTTGCGAACCTCCTCCTTTCGTGATTTCCACACAGCAGGAGTAACTGTGTCTACCGACGGGGGGGCTACCTTCTTGGGTAAATCGTCTTCAATGTCTATTCCGGCGTTACCATTCGGGGAGTTCAATTTGGGCTCGCCTTCGATGGGTGCTGCTGGCCGATTGATGAAAGGTAGCTTGTGTTGAATATCTTCCAACGAGCTTGGGAGTCCCCAGTAAGGTAGAACCAACCAAGCCAGCGACAACAGAATCGTTAGCAGAGCTACCCACCGCAGAAATGGGCGCCGCCCAAGGACGTTGCAGGCATTCCTGGTCCCGTTACCACGTTTGGCTAGCCTGGAGAGAGTGGAATGAATTGGCGAGGCCGTCGAGGTCGAGATATGGGTGGGGAGCATTGTAATAATGAATGGCCGCACTTGGTTTCTTATCGTGCGAGACAGAGACAGTGGAATCCTGAACGATGATCAGTCGATGTGGCCTTGTATCTCGTTGTCAGCGTCTCGGAGTTGTGTAAAGTTGAGGATTGCGGCGAGTCAGGGAGCTGGCCAAGCTCATATACAGCCGAGTGCTGGTTTGACGAGGTAGATGTGTGTGGGAGGTTCAAACAGCCAAGGATCAACATATTCAAAGAGTAACATCTGCCGAGTAAGTTGCAGAAGCCCGCACCGTGTGGAGCAAAGAGCAGAAATCCAATGAAACGCCGGCGACCATCACCGGCATCACACAACCACACAACATGCCAGTACATAATCATCATCTGAACAGATACAAACACCACAAATACGGTTGGTTGGTTGTTAGTTGGAGAGGTAGCTGTGGTTTTTTCTGGTAACTAGTTCTTATGTTTGCTTTCGTATCAGGTGACGAAAAAAAATGTGTCTCTCTGTCTGGGAGTCGAACCCAGCTTTCGCGCGCACCTTGAACAGATGACAGGCGCGTGTACTAACCGATATACTAACAAAGACATGAATTCCTTTTCTCGAGTAGTGCTTACATGCTCGTAGAGCAATAGAAACGAAAATGTCTAGCACCGATTACCAGGAACCCTTCACCAGATCTACAGCTCGCTCGGATAGAATGTATACCGCTGCCTGCGTGTGCGCAGTGAGGACATACGGCTGTATAACGATTAGTGGAATAATAGAGTCCAGATACCAGGAACTCACAAATACAGATGAATCAATGATGCGTAATCCAGATGCTCCCTTCACCCTCAACTCGCCGTCAACCACGCCACGCTTCGAGCCTTTGGACGACATGGATGCTGTACCCACTGGATGGAAAAAGGTTATTGCTGTATCCTTAATACGCTTCTCAAACTCGGCATCCGTCAGGGTGTCGGGGTCAGGACCCACAAACCCAGTAATATACCCTTCCCATGCTGGGCCAGAGTAGAACCTCTTGAGTATTTTGACACCTTCTTTCATTGCCTCCATGTCGAAAGGGTGCCCGAATAGATTGAGATCTATCTTTGGGTGGTCAAATGGGTTGCTAGATGCGAGTTTGACCGATCCGCCTTGAACTCAGAGTGAATAAGTGGGTTCCACCCATTGACAGGCGCAAACGTACGCGAGTGAGGTGTTAATAGACATATGTTGGCCATCGGTGGACCTGTACCGTCCTAGATCATTATTTGGTTCAGTGAAATAAGAAGCGACTAGTCGTGAGCAAACGACACAAACGGAAAGAGGCATTTCAATGTGCGGAGATTTAGGACCTGTAGACGGATCCTTGTACTTTTTGAGGATAGGCGAGTCCGAGGGTACCCTCGCCCATAATATCTGATGGCTAAACATCTCTGTATGGGGTCCAGTTCTGTTCTTCTGCCACATTTCCCAAGAAACAGCAGGGTCAATGCTTGAGGAAAACGGGAAAGCGTGGTCACATAAAGGTAAAGTAGAAGGTTTTCGGGCTCACGTTGGCATGGGAGGTACCTTTGCTGTCCACGCTGCACCTGCAGCTACATGATCGGTCAGACCTTCCCCGACATCTGGTAGATGGAGGATTGATGTGATCCCAAGGGCGGTGAGCTCGTCCCGATTCCCTATTCCAGAGTTCATCAGAATCTGAGGCGAACCAATAACCCCTGCAGTAAGGATGAGCTCTTTTGTCGCTGTGATCGTCCTCGTGTCTGTGGCGCCTGCAAACAAATTAATGAATCTCTCGCGCGGAGTGACTTAACTCCAGCGACGTCTCACCTCCAGTTCTCGGCGCAATTTCAACGGTTCGAAGGTCAAGCCGACGCTTGGAGTCCTTCACTGGAAGGACGCGGGTTATGTAAGTTCCTAACACAACAGTCAAGTTCGGACGTTCGCGAACATCCTTCCCAATGTACGCGGCAGCAGCGCTACTCCTCTCTCCGTTCGCAATAGTAGACTGTTTCCAAGCTATTCATCTGATTAGGCACGAAGAACGAGCACTCAGCAGTCTCGGCTACTCACTAACGCCAATGGGAGTTCCGCCATTCACGTCAAGTCTGAAGGGAAACTCCTTTTGATACTCGGCGTTCTTGATAGCTCGTCTGTCATGTTCTGTAGATCCACTCCAAGGAAGAGAGACCCCGACGTTTCCATTATAGCCATGAACGGTGGGATCGTACTGTCCATCGACACTGCGTCCTCCAGCAGGAGGTAACCATCGTTCGTGCTGTATTCAATTAAGTCTTCTCATATCCTCGTTTACACTTCAATGCATGCACGTACCCGTTTTATGTATGGCTGCAGTGCATCCCAGCTCCATCCTTTATCTCCGGTAACTCTGGCCCAGTTGTCATAGTCGTCAGCCGAGCCTCTCGTATATACCATTCCGTCTGAAGATGCGAGCTTATGAGCTACTTGACTATGCCTCAGTACGGTGGGAAATACACACTGATAGCACTGCTTCCACCAAGCCCATGCCCTCGAGTGACAGGCGTCGTCCGATTGTTGAGTCCTGGCTGAGGCGTAGAGATGTAAGGCCATACGAAGTTCTTCAAGTTGTCTTTGGGTCCAGGATAGTTGGGAACGAGTAATTCAATCGCGTCCTTCGTGCTGGAGAGAGGTCAACGGAATCATCGATGGTTTACATACAGAGAACCACAAACTCGGGGCCAGCCTCGATGAGGAGGACATTGAACTTGGAATTCTCTGAAAGACGGCTGGCAAGAACACAGCCCGCAGTCCCACCTGTGTTCCACAAAGTACGTCGATGCTTGCAACACAAACAAACTTCGGCAAAACTCACCTCCAGCAATGATGAAGTCATAAGGAGCTAATGAGTTCGGAAGGTCAGCAAACTGATGATATACGACGGATAACCCAAGCTGAGATAAGGAGATCACATAAGCCACTACTGGCAGGATGTTGAGTCGTGCCATGGAGGGCTCGATGGCAATTTCAGTCGAAAATCAGGTTTTATTTATACGAAGCAGTTCCGCGAAGCCAGGCGATGACCTACTCTTTGTGCGGGTGCGGGTTTAACTTTTGGGTCATCTGGTCAACTGCAGTGAGCGGAGTGGGAATGAGAGTAAGTCCGTAAGGTTCCACGGAAGCAATGTTTTGCCCGGTTTAATTATCCTTTGCTCAGGCCTCACGTATACGGCAACACGGAGTATGTGTGCAAGGACACAGATTGAATAATTTGAACCAACTCCCCCACCTGTTTTTCAGACCTGTATCATTGATGTGAGACCGGTACATCTTGTCTCTCCTATTCCCAACGGGACTATATCTAGAATTAGTATAACGTGCATGGGAGTCCAGACAAAACGACCTACTACTGCCAGTAGGTATTCCGCTTTCTTTGACTGCACGCGTTGGAATAGTCCGCGGGGACACTCCGGGCTCGGGCACTGGATAGTTGGGCTAGCTGGGTTGGCTCTGTGGCGTCGAGCTACCAGTCGATGGGGAGAAGCAAGGGTAATCTGTTGCAGTCGCGGCGGAGCGCGCTATCGTGTGTGGCACAGCCACGGCTCGATCTAATCTAATCGGGGAGGGCTGTAGGCTCTGGTACAGGGTGGGTCTGGCATCGTCGTCCTCGAGGGAGTCAGTACGCCTTTCGACGGCACTATAGGCTTAGTACTGTTGCCCGCTTGGGACATGACAAGTTTTGGCGGTATTATTCAACTTGTAGTTTACCCGGAAATACTTAGCGTATTGCGCATCTAACATTATTTTGCCAGTTTTTACTTGAGTTACAGTTACTTTACTTTACTTAAATGTGGTTCTTCGAGAGTTCTGGATTACGAAAACATATACAGTATCCTGCATAAACCTTTATGTGCTGCGAACAACAGTCGCCTGTGGTCCTACTACTACTCCACTACGGCAAGAGTTTGATGGGCGAGCTCATGAAATGTACCAATGGTCTATCGTTATTAGAGCGCTTATTGACCGCTGCTTGTTCCTTAGCCTTTCTCCAGGCCAATACATGCCGTCTTAGCATTATAACCTGTATATTTATGTGTTCTGCTGCCAAGTGTGCCAAGGTTCTAAACCTTGGAATTAAAGCTAGCGGACCAGCCTTCGCGCGTACCTTTTACAGATGACAGCCGAGTGTACTTTGTAAACCGATATTCTCAGGCTAACAAAGACATGTTATTTTAGGACAAAACGACTTCTCTGGTGGCTCCGCAGACGAACGAAAATGAGTTTCTAACGACTGATTACCAGGAACCCTTCACCAGATCCACAGCTCGCTCGGATAGAATGTATACCGCTGCCTGCGTGTGCGCAGTGAGAACATATGGCTGAAAAGCGATTAGTGGAACAGGTAGACTTCAGATACCAACAACTCACAAATACAGATGAATCAATTACGCGTAATCCAGAAGCACCCTTCACCCTAAGCTCACTGTCCACCACGCCACGCTTCGAGCCTTTGGACGACATCGATGCAGTACCGACTGGGTGAAAAAATGTTATCGCAGTATCCTTGATACGCTTCTCAAACTCGGCAGCGGTCAGGATGTCGGGGTCCGGACCCACAAACCCAGTAACATATCCTTCCCATGCGGGGCCAGAGTAGAACCTCTTGAGTAATCGGACGCCTTCTTTCATCGCCTCCATGTCGAAAGGGTGTCCAAAGAGATTTAAATCTATCAGTGGGTGGTCAAATGGGTTGCTAGACGCGAGTTTCACTGATCCGCCTGGAACTCATCGTTAATAAATGGGATCCAGACATCGTTGACAAGCGAAAACATACGCGAGTGAGGTGTTAGGAGGCATATGCTGCCACCTGGCGGCCCTCTTCCGTTCTGGAAAATCACATGGTTCAGCTAAATAACAGGTGGCTGACTTAGAGCAAGGACACCGACGGAAAGAGGCATCTCGATATGTGGAGATGTAGGACCTGTAGACGGATCCTTGTATTGTTTGAAGAGAGATGAGTCCGAGGGTACCCTCGCCCATAGGATCTGATGGCTAAACCTCTCTGTGTGGGGGCCAGTTCTGTTCTGCTGCCACATCTCCCAAGCCACAGCAGGGTCAATGCTTCAGGGAAACAGGCAGACTTCGTCACATAAAGTTAAAAGGCAAGTTCTTGGGCTCACGTTGGCATTGGAGGTACCGTCGCTGTCCAAGCTACACCTGCAGCAACGTGGTCGGTCAGACCTTCCCCGACATCTGGTAGATGGAGAATTGATGTGATTCCTAGTGCAGCTAACTCGTCCCGGTTTCCTATGCCAGAGTTCATCAGAATCTGAGGCGAACCAATGACTCCTGCGGTGAGAATAAGCTCCTTTGTCGCTGTGATGGATCTGGTGTCTGCAGGGCCTGCAACAAAATATGATGAGTCTCTCGCACGCATGAACTAGACTAAAGCGACAGTGTCGCACCTCCATTTCTTGGTGCAATTTCAATGGTTCGAATGTCAAGTCGACGCTTCGAGTCCTTCACTGGAAGGACGCGGGTTATGTAAGTTCCTAACACAACAGTCAAGTTCGGACGTTCGCGAACATCCTTCCCAATGTACGCGGCAGC